TGGTTGTTCCTAGCTTCCAAGTTTCTTACCACTGAGGCATTTGCAAGAACTTACTCTGAATAAGGCTTTCACTTTGCCCATGCAGGCTGCCTGACGTTGGACCCGCCTCAGTCTACTGATTTCCTTGTTTAACCACATTCCGAAGCCAAAGGAGCAGGTTGCTAGGCGGCTTCAGTGTCTGGAACCCTCACAGGACTCCCTGACAATGGAGGTCATGGGACAGCCCTTGTCCCCATTAGCCAACTTGGCTCACTGCAGACACTCTGAGGGTGTCCACGAGGAGGCGCACCCCTGCGGCCCCATGGCCTGGAGCAGGAGGGAAGCAGCCGGGCCTTCTCTACGAACCTTCTCTGGGTTTCACCTCTGCACTGACCTGTCCATCAGCACCTAGGGACTCATTAGAAATGCGACTTCTCAGCCCCGAACCCAAACCTATCCACTCACTGTGGGGGCAAGGTCCTAGAGTCAGTGTTTTGAGACACCTCCAGGTGGTGTCAATGTAGAATAAGAGTTCCATCTCTTGCTCTGGTTCCTGTACAGGACACTGGAGATTCATGTGATTAACCTGGAGCACAGCTGTCAAATTTCACAACTGAGGTTGCAAGTTCAGCAGGGCACGTTGTTATCTTAATTAGAAAAAAGTTCAAGTATAGAATGTCCAAATTCCTATTATTTATGGATTACTACTTCTTTATAGACATGGAACGTGAAAAGCGTCTCTAATTGTTGTACATCCTGGAGAAAAACAATGTTTGCATGGTGTTTATTTAGCTTTGTGCGCACGTGTAGACTGCGGCACGTGTGCCGGACTCAGGGATGTTCCTATATAGTTTTCCTTAGGACAATAAAGTGACACTTTAGTTCATCAATCTGCAGTGACATCTTCTCCCTTAACATTTTGGGAACCGAATCACTGAGGATTTGGAGTCTGACTTTTGCACATCCCAATGCGATCTGGCTGTGCATCACCTGTGAAAACAGCAGTGGGAGATCAGCCTCCAGAGGCAGAAGTGAGAACTTGGCCAGAAAGGTCCCTCCCAAATCTAGGGGATGAAACTTCCTCTAGGTGTCCCTTCTGGGCGCTGGCCCTCACATCACAGGCACAGTGGGTCTCTAGTTCCCACACAGGGGGCCCAGGGAATTCTCTGGTTGCTCCAGGGCCTGTCCTCCTCAGAGGCCACACTGGGGATGGGAGAGACGAGGAATGACCCCAGTGCCCAGAGCGTCTTCCTGGGATCAGGGTGTCTGGAAAAGTGGTCCAGAGCGGTGGTGAAATGCATGGAAGGTAACTATCTAGAGACCAACAATTTTCCCTGGAGACCAGAGAAAAAGATAAAAGTCACTTGGAGTGTTCAGAAGATGAGAACTCCTTAAAAGGTATGGGTGGTGTTGGAGGCAGCAACTCAAAGATGTGTGCTCGGTGAGGCCACTGGGAGTCCCCACGGCCCCCATGTGTTCAAACAGCTGTCTCCATCCTGGCACGTCTGGATTCTCCCCTCCAGCCTGTGGAGCATCTGCAACCTCCAGCCAGCTGGCTGCCCCATGTGTTCTCTGCCTGGTATTTTCTAAGTCTCCTCCTGCAGGTACTTAAGTTTAGCTTGTGACCTAACACCATGGGACACAGAATTTTCCAGCTCCTTCTCTGAGCACATCACTTTCATAGTGGGAGAATTTACTCTTTGGGCAAACACTAAAAAGCAGGGTCAGATTTACTGTATTACTAGAAGCCCAGGCTTATGTGATGAAAATTATAAATATACAGGCTAAAATTTAAGCATGTATGGTGTTTTTAGCCATCACATTGTGCATGGCACAAAAGATTTGGGGAAAATAAGAACATTTAAAAACAATGAACCAAGCCCTGGCTGGTGTGGCTCAGTGGATTGAGTGCTGGCCTGCAAACCAAAAGGTCACTGGTTCTATTCCTGATCAGGGCACATGCCTGGGTTGTGGGCCAGGTCCCCTGTTGGGGGCGTGGGAGAGGCAAATGACAGATGTTTCTCTCTTTTTCTTCCTCCTTTCCCCTGTCTGAAAATTAAAAACAAACAAAAAACAATGAACCAAACAGAAAAATGATACAGATGCTCTACAAGATTTAAATTCTAACATGTTTGTTGTTTCGAGATCTTCTTTGCAAAAGCGAAATAGCTTAACTTAGAAAGGAAAAAAGCCAAATGATATAAAGAGAAATTGTACTGAAGACAACATATAGGTGGCAAATAAACCGATGAAAAAGAGCTGCGTTTTTTGGAAACATCCAAAAAAACATCCAGTTAATTGGAACATCATCCTGTGCACCAAAAAGCTGCGTGCTGGATTCCCAGTCAGGGCGCAGACCTAGGTTCTGAGTTTGATCCCAGGTTGAGGCATATAAGGGAGGCAAGAAATTGATGTTTCTATCTCTGTCTCCTTTCCTCTCTCTCTAAAATCAATAAACATAACTTTGGGCGAAGATTTAAAGAGAAAAAGCTCAAAGTCACTAATCCCTAGGCAACTGTGATAAAAACTACACTAGGACAGCACTAGTTACCAAAAGAGGTAACATTAAAGACTGACCATATGAATTACTGGCAAAGATGTGCTAGTTCAATCTCTGGTCAGGGTGTATATATATGCAAAGCCACCAATTGATATTTTTCTCTCTCTAAAATCAACAAATTTTTTTAAATTGTAAAAATATGTCCAGATCAGCTTTATTTGCAATTGCCCCAAACGGATGGTTGGATAATGGTATATATCCAGAAAACAAAGTTATTACTCAGAAATAAGACAATAAAGTACTCACTTAGACTTCATAGATGAATCTCAAGTAGACATGAGGGAATGGAGGGAGAAAGAATAGTAAACACTTTTTAATTCCAACCATCTAAAAGTCTAGAAAATGCAACCTAATCTATAAAAAGACTAAGTCAATGATTGCTGTGATGTCAGGGAAGGTTATGAAGAGAGATGACAAAGAAAAACACAAGGTACGTGAGTGATAGATGTTCATTCTCATGATTATGACCTGTTTACAGGGTGTTAAACATGGAAATACTTAATAAAACTGTAAATTTTAGTATGTTCTATTGCATGTCACTTATTCCTTACTAAAGTTCAAAACAGCTCAAAATAAAAACCTAGACCTCTCTCTTCAGAAAATAAGCTATAAAACTATAGCTTAGAATAAACTATATTGACTCCAGAAGCTCTTCTTTCCTAGCAAGGTCTGTTTGGCCTCCGTGGCAGCTGGTGAGCAGTGAAGGACAGATGTGGTCACTATCAGGACTATGATGGTTTCATACCTATGTCAAAACTTATCAAATTGTACACTTTATGTATATGCAAGTAGTGCATGTAAATTGGTAGTGAAATTTTAAAAAATGGCTTAGGATTACAAAAACAAGCTTTGTATCATGATAGTTTTGGAGAATAGGTTTGACCACCCTACACTGACTCTTATTATCTCTTCCCTCAGTCCCTCTAGGGGGTCAGTATTGCCTTGATGGCATCAAATGTGGTGGTGAGTACTGAACATGTGCACCTGAGTCAACAAGAATGCTGCCTGTGTCAGGGACCACACCCCTGGAGCACAGGTCCCCCTCTTCCTCTTTCCTGTTGTATACTAATGGCCTTGAGGCAGACGTCACTGAGTGGCTATGGGAATCCACAAAACCTCTTGATTATTTTTGGTTTTTCTCACAGTGATGCCAGCTACACAAGATAACAATGCCTGGCGTTTCTCCATCTACATACACTCATCATGTAGTCACAGCTGCAGAAACAATTCTGGATGCATGTTTAGAAGAGGGACATTCCATCTAGCTGGCTGCAGTCTCTTCCAATCCCTAACGGGCAAGTGTTTTTCTACACCAACTACGGTTTTCCTGGACCCAGTTTTTCAGCCAGTGACCCTATGTGCCCGATGAATTTTGGACATCAGGGTACATTACTTTCTATCCACCTGGGGAAGATACACCCTCAACAGTGCTGGTGTAACCTGTGATATCTGCTGTGGGTAAAGGAAAAAACAAGCTACTCTTATAAGTACCTCAGGTTTTCATACCTGCCTTCCTTTCATGGTCATCTCAAAGACTCCTAAAACTCATAGCATCCAAATAAAGACCAGAAAGTCATCAGTCCTTTCTCAGAGGCTGTGAACAGCCATGCAAATTTGGTCAAAACTGGCCATTTATTTTCTGCCATCATACGGTCCTTCAACAAGCAGAGAAAGTTCGAGACCATAAAAATTGTTCACTTCTTCATGCATTTAGAGCCTGAATCAGTTTATAAACTACCCCATAGAATAAAAAGAACAAAAATATTAAAGAAATTTAAATAATAAGGCCTGCTCATGACCAGTGTGGCTCAGTTGTTAGGTGTTGTCCCACAAGGCGAAGGATGGTAGGTTCTATTCCTGGTCAGGGCACATGCCTAAGCTGCGGGCTCAGTCCCCATTCAGGTGCATGTAAGAGGCAACTGATCAATGTTTCTCTTTCACATTAATGTTCCTTCCCTCCCCTTCTCTATCCCTTTCCCTTTCTCTAAAATCAAATAAATAAAATCTTAAAAAATAAAAATAAGGCCTGAATTATTGTACAAGCCAAAGCAGTATGCAGCAGGCATGTGCCAAGTTCATAAACTGGAAAAATCTCATCACAAATTTCAGATGAACACATCCGTGGAACAGAGAGTCATTTCTACGCAAGTGGAGTGCAGAACTCATGATATTCTCTGGATCAACAGAAGGACCCAGTCCATGTCCAAATTACTAATAAAGAGAAAGCTGACTTCCTGAGGGCTCCAGTCACTTCTATTTTGCTACAACATCATGAGACCAGAGGTCAGCTTCCCTGAGCACATCTGCAGGCCTGCACCGTGGTAAAGGTTAAAGGACTACAGCCACAGAATGCAGCTGCACGATAAACCTAGAAGGAGCCGTGGGCAAGTCAGAAAGTGCAACATATTTACAAACACTTCCCCTATAACTGAAAATTATGGGAAATTTCCACACTGCACATATTCACATGTAAAAGTTTCAATTCAGAGAGATGTCTCTTCAAAGAATTTCCTCCACCTTGTCACACCAAACAGAAAATTGCACATTCCCAGCATACTTAAGGCTTTTCTCTAGTATGAATTCTCAGATGATAATGAAGTTTGGAACGATAGATGAAAGACTTCCCACATTCACTGCACTCATATGGTCTTTCTCCAGTGTGAACTCTCTGATGATAATGAAGTTTAGATCTACTGATAAAAAATTTCTTACATTTACTGCACTCATAAGGCCTTTCTCCTGTATGAAATCTCTGATGATAATGAAGTTTAGAACTACTAATAAAAGATTTCCCACATTCCTTGCACTCATAAGGTCTTTCCCCAGTATGACGTCTCCAGTGTAGACTGAATTGGGAACTATCCCTAAATGACTTTCCACATTCAGTACACTCGTAAGGCCGTTCTCCTGTGTGACCTCGTTGATGGTAACGGAGGGCAGAGCTCGTGGTAAAAGATTTCCCACATTCACTGCACTTATAGGGTCTTTCTCCTGTGTGAACTCTCTCATGGCAACGGAGTGTGGAACTAGAAGCAAAAGATTTTTCACACTGACTGCATTTATATGGCTTTGTTCCTGTATGAACTCTCTGATGATAAGAGAGGGTATTGCGACGGGCAAAAGATTTCCCACATTCACTGCACTCATAAGGCCTTTCTCCTGTGTGAACTCTCTGATGATTACGAAGGTACTGGCGGGAGGTAAAAGATTTCCCACATTCACTGCATTCATAAGGCCTTTTTCCTGTGTGAATTCTTTCATGACAACGAAGGCTATGGTTCTGGGTAAAAGATTTCCCACACTCACTGCACTCATAAGGCCTTTCTGCTGTATGAACTTTCTGATGATAACAAAGGCTTTTGTTCCAGGTAGAAGATTTCCCACAATCACTGCACTCACTAGGCCTTTTTCCTGTGTGAACTCTCTGATGGTAATGAAGGCTTTTGTTCCAGGTGAAAGATTTCCCACATTCACTGCACTCATAAGGCCTTTCTCCAGTGTGAAGTCTCTGATGACAACGAAAGTTATAAATCCTGGTAAAAGACTTCCCACATTCACTGCACACATAAGGTTTTTCTCCCGTATGAACTCTCTGATGACACTGAAGGGCATAGATCCAGGTAAAAGACTTCCCACATTCAGTGCACTCATAAGGCCTTTCTCCTGTGTGAACTCTCTGATGACAATAGAGGGCAGAGCCAGTGGTAAAAGATTTCCCACATTCACCACACTCATAAGGCTTTTCTCCTAGGTGGCTTCGCTCATGATACTTAAGGTTACAGCGACGATAAAAAGATTTCCCACATACACTGCACACATAAGGCTTTTCTCCTGTGTGAGTTCTCTGGTGTCGAATAAGTTTCCCCCTGTCATTAAAGGATTTCCCACAGTCGCTACACCCATAAGGCCTTTCTTCTGTGTGAGTTTTCTGGTGTCGAACCAGTTTCCACCGATTGTTAAAAGATTTCCCACATTCACTGCAGTCATAAGGTCTTTCTCCAGTGTGAACTCTTTGATATTGAATAAAGACTGAGTTATGACTAAAAGATTGTGTACATTCACTGCACACATAATTGTTTTCTGTATTTTCCTGTCCCTCGGCATGAATGAGGGCAGATTTGAGGTTTAAGGATTTTCCACATTTGCTGCACTTGTGCTGTCTCGCTTCAGTATGACTTTTTTGTATTCGACGGAGGGTTGAGGTTTCACTAAAGGGTTTTCCATTTTCACCACACACACGGAAACTTTTTCTAGTGTGGCCTCTGCAGTGAGTGACAAATGACGATTTATACCTGAACGTTTTTCCACACTCACTGCACACAAAACACTGTCTTCCAGTACAGACAGCCTGGTCCACAAGTATGTGTTGCGGGATAATGCTTTTCTTGATTTCCCCCAAAGTGTAATGACTTTTTCTGCTTTGTAGTGTTGCTTCGCACTGGGTGCCTGTGTTTGGCTCCTTCACTTCATGGCTGTCCTGCTGCTGAGGATGTTTTGAGCTGGCCAGGAAGTCTGTTTCAACCTCACCACAGGTAAAGGGCTTCCCTGACACGTGAATTCTGCAGCTCTTCACAAACAGGGCCCTGCGTACACTACTTCTGAAGGGTTTCTGTCTCATATGCTGTTCCTGGTATTGGCGACACTTTGCACTGAAATGAAATTGTTTTGCACATGCCCCACACCTCAGCAGTGCTGGGCTGTGTTGTGTGCCCTGCTGCTCAAAAAAGTTGAAAATGTCTCTCAAGACTGTCCCACAACTGGCACAGGGGTGGCTCTTCTGGGAAGATGAACCTGCTTTGGCATTCCTTGCCTGTGACACTCGTATAGAAACATTCTGTTCAGTGGGAGCCTCTACATCCTTTGCTCCACAGCAGCAACCTGAACAAACAAACAAACAAACAAACAAATAAATAAATTCTGGAGAAGTACCTGCTGTGTACAGAAAAGACAGAACCTCATCACACATATTCACATGTCACATGTAGGCATGAATACATAAACTCCTTTTCAAAACAAGAAAGTTCTGTTGAAGGACTGGGTGCCTGTTTATTATTGGAGGTCTACGGTCCCAAAATAATGGAAAACCCTCCAGGGGAAGGATACTCGGACAGGGCATGACACATAGAAGAGAGGCAGGGCTTACAATGCGCCTCCTCTGCCGACAGCTTCCTGCACATCCTTCTCTGCTGCTCACGCGAGGCTGGGTAGAAACGCTCACGCAAGCCCATTACCATTCAATTGCAAGATATTCGCTGCTGTACAAGGTCAATATATAGACTTGTGAATGTCTCAGGGCATAATATGTGAGCACCAATGTTCAAGAGTACTACAGAAAGGGGGGTAAGAGAACGGGTGAAATGTGGGATCAACAGAGGTAGAAATATCCCCAGGCTGGAAACCACAGTGGAAGGGACCAGTAGTAGAACTGACATGTTGGCAAAGTGTCAAAGCTGGAATAGGAGCCCTGGACTGTTAGCTGATGTGATCAGAGCATCGTCCACATAAGCAAGACAAGGATGTCAGTTTGATTCCAGGTCAGGGTACATACAAGAAGCAACCAATGCCCTGGCTTGTGTGGCTCAGTGGATTGAACACTGGCCTGCAAACCAAAACGTGCTGGTTTGATTCCAGTTCAGGGGACACGCCTGGTTTGTGGGCCTGGTCCCCAGCTGGGTGTGTGCAAGAGGCTACTGATCAATATAACTCTTGTATACTAATTGATGGTTCTCTTTCTTTCTCCCTCCTCTGCCCTCTCTCTAAAAATAAATAAATAAAATCTTTTAAAAAAGCAACTGATACATGTATAAAATAAGTAGAACAAATTCATGTTTCTCTCTTTCTCTCTCCCTTATTCCCTACTCTCTAATATAACTTTTTAAACAAATTTAAGTACAAAATCTGGAAAAGGAAAGGCAGAATTAGCTGTGGCCACCCTGGCTTTTGACCACCCTTTCACTGCCCTGCTTTACCCTGAACCTATGCCTTTCACCCACCCACCTAAGCCAGGCCTGTTCTCTTCTGTGGGAATGGATCACCAATAAACCCTGCTTGCACGCTAATAGATTTCCTGAACTGTAATTCTTTCCACACCTCGGCAAGAACCAAGTTTCTCCCATGAGCAAAAGCACATGCAAGAAGCAACCAGTGAATGCATAAATAAATGGAACAACAAATTAATGTTCCTTTCTCTTTCCCTTACTCTCTTTCTCTTAAATCAATAAATTAAAAAAAAATTTCTTAAAAAATCAATGAATAAAAAAAATTAGGGGTAGAAAGTATGTACTTCAATATCAAAAAGGCCATACACGATAACACACAACTACTAGTCTATTCAACAGTGTCAGCTTAAATGCTCTTTCTCTAAGATCAGGTACAAGTGAAAGATGCACACCCTCACCATGACTTTTCAAAATAGTACTGGAGGTTCTAGCCCCAATAATAAGGCCGGAAAGAGAAATGAAGATATTCAAATTAAAAAGAAGTAAAACTGTGTGAGTTTACAGATAATGAGATCTTATATGAAGAAAATCCTAAACATTCTACCAAAAAAAAAAAAAACACAACCCTGCCAGAATGAATAAACAAGGCCAGTAAATTTGCTGAATCCCAAATCCGTATCAAAAATCGGCTGATCTATACACTAACAATAAAATATCTCAATAAGAAATTAAGATCCAGCTGCTGTGGCTCAGTGGATTGAGCGCTCACCTGCAAAACAAAGGTTGCCAGTTTGATTCCCAGCATAGGGCACATGCCTGGGTTGCAGGCCATGTCCCCAGTAGGGGGCGTGTGAGAGGCAACCACACATTGGTGTTTCTCTCCTTCTCTTTCTTCCTCTCTTTCCCTCTCCCTAAAAATAAATAAAATCTTTTAAAAAATGAAATGAAAGGAAATAAAAAAAATTTAGAGATCAAGCTCATTTACAACAGCATTAAAAACCAATAAAACACTTAGGATTAGATTTCATCAAGGACGTGAAAGATCTAGACCCAAAAAACTACAAGACAGTGATGAAAGAACCTGAAGACATGAATGAATGAAAAGACATTCTGCGTTTTTGAATTGGAAGAATTATTATTGTTAAAATATCTCTACTGAGCAACCTACCAATTTATTGATATCTCTACCAAAATCCAATGGCACTTTTACCAGAAATTAAAAAAAAAAAAAAAAAAAGAACCTTAAAATTCAAAACACAAAGGATCTCTAATACTCAAGGCAATTTAAAAAAACTAATTTTTTTTAGATTTTATTTATTTATTTTTAGAAGGGAAGGGAGTTAGAAAGAGGAGAGAAACATTGATGTGTGAGAGATACATCAATTGGTTACCTCTTGCATGCCACCAACCTGGGACCCAGCCCACAACTCAGGCATGTGCCCTGACTGGGAATGTGGGAATTGAACCAGCAATCTTCTGGTTCGCAGGCTGGCATTCAATCCACTGAGCCACACCAGCTAGGGCTCAAAGCACTTTTGAGCAAGAAGATCAATGGTAGAGTTAGAGGCATCATACTTCAAGACTTAAATGATATTATAAAATAACAGTAATCAAAAGGCACAGATAGACACACAGGTCTAAAAAACAGGATATAAACAGCACAGAAGTAAACCCACATATGCGGGCAACTCCTCTTTCACAAGGACACTAAGAACACACAATGGAGAAAGAATAGTTTCCTTAAAAAATGGTGTTGAAAAAACTGGATATGCACCTGCGAGAAAAGAAACCGGAGCCCTACCTTACACCACTCGCAAAATCTAATTCTAAATGCATTAAAACTTAAATGTAATACATTAATATGTAAAACTCCGTGGGAAGGAAAAAACACTCCTTGATGCTGGTTTTGGCAATAATTTTTTGGATGACACCAATTGCAGACAACAAAGGGAAAAATAAGTAAGCCAGACATCAAACTAAAAAGCTTCTGCATAGCAAGGAAAGCAATTAACAAAATGAAAGGTGAGAAAAGAAAGTACATATCTGTAAAGGCTGTGTAATAAAAGGTAAATAGCTAGAATACATAAGGTGCTCATACAATTCCATAGCAAAACAGCAACCCAATTAAGAAACAGGCGAAGATGCTCTGATTGGTGTGGCTCCATTGGTTGGAGCTTCGTCCTGTAAACCAAAAGGTTGCGGGCCAGGACACATAGCCATGTTGCAGGTTCGATCTCCATTTGGGGCATACGCGAGAGGCAACCAATTGTTTCTCTCTCACATCGATGTTTCTTTCTTTTCCTTTCTAAAAGCAATGAAAAAATGCTCTTGGGTAAGGATAAAAAAAAAATGGGCAAAGACTCTGAATAAACATTTTCAAAGATGGAAAAATGGCCAACAGACTTACGTAGGAAACGTTCTTCCTCACTAATCACGAGAGAGAAAAAAAAGGCAACTCAAAACTAAAACGATATCATCCTCCCTGAGAAGATGGCTATGATGCAAATAGAACAGTGTTGGTGCAGGTGGAGCTATAATAGAACCCTTGTACACTGTAGTTGAAATTTTTTAAAAAGTCAAAATGATTTAAAAAAGAGTAGAATGCCAGGATCTGGGGTGTTGGGGAAAATGGCAACCTGTTGGTCAAAAGGCACAAACCTTCTTTTAAAAGATGAAGGAGTTCTGAGGATGTAATTAAGAGTGTGGTGACTACAGTTAACCATGTCACATATTTGAAATTTACTGAGAATAGAGTTTTTTAATTTTTACTACAGCACGAATGGCCTTTATTGGTTGCAACAAGGAGTTGGAAAGGAGGGGCCCTGGAGCAGCTTCTCAGACTCGGTGGCCACACTCAGAGAGTGAGAATAGACCTTAAGTATTCTTAAGCATTAAAAAAATAAATAAAATAAAATAAGGCAAACTTATATGGTGATAGGTGTTCAGTTAACTTCACTGTGGCAATTACTTTACTATATGTATACAATCAGCACCCTCTACACATATGCAAATTTGTATCTCAACAAGGCTAAAAAAAAAGGAAAACAGATCTAAACACTACACACTGTGGAGGAGACTGTTGAAGGAAAATCCATGGTTCAGAAAAAGTAACGGCCGTGTCTACACCTGCAACTCCTGGCCCAGGGAGGCAGGAAGCAACGACAGCTAAAACAAAGGATCAAACCCTGGGATGCAGACCCAAGGTGGATCTGGACACATTAACCCAGACACTGAGAGGGCGAGCACGGTGAATCCACTAAACGCAATGCAACAGGACTGACTGTGAATCCTTCCCAGAAGCGTTCAGGACTGAGACTGCAGGGAGAGAACAGGGCAGTGAAACAAACCAGCCCTAGCAATACAGCCACTACCTGGAAAACAGTGCCTACGGTCCACACCTGACCACTAAGGGGGGTGGGGGTGGTGAGGCTGAGGGTCTTACCCAGAGAGGATATAAGTGTGAAGTTGTCCAGCATCACACGGAGGTACAGGCGTCTCTGAGCCTCATCAAGCAGCCTCCATTCCTCCCAGGAGAAGAGCACAGCAACGTCCTCAAAGGTCACCCTGGTCTGTTATCGCGGGGACAGGAAAAAACATGAACATTCTGTGTGTGACAACCCACAATCCCCCTCCCCACACATCCACCCCACACCCACCCCCCTCCAAAGCGGCCCACCTCAGAGGAATTCCATACCGAGGTGCCACTGGTGCCCCCCTCCCCTCGGGTCCCTTTATTCCTGGTGTTCAGCCCTCAGCCACTTCAGGCAGGAAGGCACAGAGCTGCAATCCACTTCTGGTCCTGGCTTGTACGGTCCCCTCCATCCTGTCATTAACGCCCCTTGGGGTCTCTGGATTGTGACAAGACACAGCCGAGTGCGGGCTTGTGCTTCACCCTGCAGCGCTCAACACTAGGGCCCTGGGACCATAACACACCTTTTCTCAATTCGCACGCCATTCTGCAGGTTGTCCCTCAGACACCTTCAGTCCCCACCTGAGCTCCCACAGCCACGTGTTTGTGGAGATGCTGCTTTGAATGCGGCCTCTACGCACCTGGCCTCTGTTTCAGTGTTTGCCTCCCAGAAGCCCATGGGAATTTCAGGAGAACATGACCCCCTTCCACTCTGTACTGTATTTGCTGAGTCCTTGTGACAGGATAGTGAAAAGCTAGGAAAATTCCTGGGCGAGTGGGACGGGGAATCTCAGGCAAGAAAGTTAAAAAAAGCCAAACAATCTGAGTACCTGGCAGCCAGCTGGTGAATTGCCAAGACCTTATGTCCCCTAAACAAGGGCACTTGAGGGCAAATGGCTTATACCTCTCCTCCCTGACCAGAGAATACATGGCTTAAGTCACCCTGGTCTGGGAAAGAGAGATAAAATCCTTTTTAGGGCCAGCGGAGTTTTCTCACCATTACAGCCTTAGAGAATTACCAACAAAATTAATCAAGTGTATTTTAACCTTAGGTTCTGGCTGAGATCTCATTACAGTTAATAGTCCACTAAACAAGAACAAAGAGACATTTGACCTAGCCTGACCCTGAAGCACCTGGCCACCAGAAATGTGGAGGCTGACTGTCAACGTTCCAGGAACCAGTAATAAAGACTTTTTATCAAGATTCCAGGAGAATCAAGATGGTGGAGGAGTGAGTGGAAGTCACACTGACCTCCTCCAAGGACCAACCTGGAATTACAACTAAATTGGGGAGAAATCACCTGGAACAAACAACTGAACAAGAGCGAGAGAGGAGCCTTGTAACCTCGGACACAGAAGAATTGGCTTTAGTGCAATCTAACTGGTCAGGAGTGCGGTACAGAGCTGAGAAGGTGGGCAGGGCACCCACAGGCGGCAGCGCCAGAGGGATATTGAAACGGCCAGTTGGATCCCCCGGAGAAGAGCAGGGTCTAAACTAAAAGCAGGGATCTCTAGCCCGTAACACTAGAGCCCAAAAAGTGCACGGAAAACAACCAGCTGTGAAAAGTGGCAGGGTTGCTCTCTGCCAGAGACAAGCGACTGGAGACGCAAAGAACTTTTTAAAGGGCCAACACATAAATTTTTATTTGCAGCCACTTACCCTGGTCTCTGGCAAAGGCAGGGGAAGGGTGGGCTAGAGATGCCTGAGGAGAGACAGGGGAAGGAGGTTTGGAGAGAGAACTGAGAGAGTAGCCTGCCAGATCTCCGTGCTGACTCATCCCCCATGCGGCAGCCGCCATCTTGCTCAGGCAGAGACCACGCCCCCTGAGCAGCACCAGCATCAAAGGACCAAATAGCCCCGCCCCCAGGTGGGATTCCGCCCCGCACTGTGCTGTCCAAGCTGCCTGCAGAGTGCAGAGTGGCAACCACAGACAGTAGACCCCTGGCTAAAGGAGGCGCAGAGAGGTCTGGTAACACTTGAGGAGAAACTGGGGAAGGAGGCTTTGGGGAGAGAATGGAGAGAATAGCCGACAGGATCCCAGTGCGGACTCCTCCTCCATATGCACAAGCGTGAGAAGAACCAATAACCCCGCCCCCAGGAGGGATTCCACCTCACCCTGAGCTGTCTAAGGCGGCCTGTTGAGTGAAGAGTGAACAGATTAACAGCTGAAGGAGACAGCCACAGACAGTAGATTCCTGGACGTCCTGAACAGACTGCCTAAGGTCAGACAGGGTCAACATCTGACATCATCAGAGGCAGATCCAGAAAGAAAAAACAGAGGTCTCCAACCATAGAAGTTCACACCACAAAGTCAGGAAATTAAGACAGATCAACTTAAGAATCAGAAGCAAAAAAGAAGAGTCTCACAAATAATGAGAAGACAAAGAAATACATCCCACTCGAAGAGAAAGGAGGAATCCCCACAAAGAGAACTAAATGAAATAGAGGCAAGTAAACTATCAGGTACTGAGTTCCAAACAAGAGTTCTCAGGAAGCTCAATGAGCTCAGCGAGCTCAGAGAGAATTACCAAAAACTACAGGGAGACTACAAGGAACTTACTGCAAACTATATTAGCATAAAAAAGGACATAGAAACTATCAATAAGAGACAAGAGGAAATGAAGAATACTGTTTCTGAGTTGAAGAATACAGCAGAAGGAATCAAAAGCAGGCTCGATGAAGCTGAGGACCGAATCAGCGAGCTGCAGGGCAAAGTAGGAAAAAGCTCCCAGAAAGAGCAAGAAAATGAAAAAAGACTCAAAAAGCATGAAGAGGCATTGAGGGAAATGCAGGACAACCTGAAATGTAATAATATCCGTATAATAGGGATACCAGGAGGAGAGGAGGGTGAGGAAGGGATAGAGAACCTGTTTGAAAAAGTCATGATGGAAAACTTCCCTAATTGGAGGAGAGAAAAAGTCACACAAGTCCAGGAAGCACAGAGGGTCCCATTCAAGAGGAGCCCAATGAGGCCCACGCCAAGACACATCATCATGAACATGGCAAATATCAAAGACAAACAGAGAATCCTAAAGCAAGCAAGGGAGAAAGAGGTAGTAACATATAAGGGAGCCCTTGTACGGCTAGCAGCTGACTTCTCAACAGAAACACTGCAAGTTAGAAGGGAATGGCAAGAAATATTCCAAGTATTGAAAAGCAAAGGCCTGCAACCAAGACTGCTCTACCCAGCAAGGCTCTCAAAAAAATGGAAGGTGAAATAAGGAGTTTCCCAGACAAACAAAGGCTCAAATAATACATCTCCACCAAACCAGCACTGCAAAATATGCTAAAGGGACTGCTTTAAGATGAAGTAAAAGTTTCTATGAATACCCAGTTCCTTTCAGAGGTGCCAATATTTGATATTACCAATATTTTTAATACTCATTAATCTGATTGTGACAATGATGTTATTTTAATTGTTCCTTTACTATTTGTTGAAACTAAACCTATTTTTAGTATATTTCTTGCCTATTTCTATTATTTTAAAAAAACTTAAAATGACTCTTTGGTAGTCTTATCCATTTATTGATTAAAGGTTTGTAGAACTTCCCCCCCCCCCGAAAAAAACCCCTATTAACCATGTTTTAGATGTGCTGCAAATACTTTTCTATTCTATCCCTGTCCTTTAACTTTTTTTATATGTATATTACTATATAGTTAAGTTTAATATAGTGATATTGTTAATATTTACTTTATAGCTTCTGGGTTTGAATATTTCAGGTCATGAAAAATATTAGTTCTATTTTCTTCTAAAACTCCTTAGATGCTACATATTGATTTTTAACTCACCTGAATATTTCTTGTATAATGTGTGAAATAGGGCTCTATATTTGTTTTATTTCAAGTAATAGTGGTCCATGCACCTTATTTGTTGAATAAGCCTTATTTTCCCCATTGATTTGAAATATCAACTTCTTCATATATTGTTAGACAGATATATACGTTTGTCTCTAGAATCCTCATTATATTTCATTAATCTATTTGATTATTTCTGTGCTGGTATCATGTTGGTTTAATTACTGAGACTTTATCATGGTTTTAAAATTTTTAATATTTTATCATTGACTTTGACATTTAAAAAAATAAATAAAATCAATCTGCATTTAAGAAACAAACAAAGAGAGAGAGATGGAACTCCTACCTTCTGTGACAACATGAATGGAACTGGAGAATATTATGCTAAGTGAAATAAGACACCTGATGAAAGACAAATACCATATGATCTCACCTATAAGTGGACTCTAGTCAACAAAGTAAACTAACAAACAAAATAAACCACAGGCACGGGAACATGGAGCAGACTGAAAGTGACCAGAGGGGAGGGGGAAAGAGGACAGTGGTGGAAAGAAGGGGAAGGGTCTAGACAAAGAACATGTATGAATGACCCATGGACATGGACCACAGAGTGGGAATTGACTGTGGGAGCGGGGGGTGGGGGTGGGATGGATGGAGGGCGGTAACGGGGTAAAAATTGAGACAACAGTAATAGAGTAAACATGATTTATAAATTTAAATAAGTAAATTTTTTAAAAAAAGATTCCACACAGGACACCAGAACTTTTTTTTGACACTTCTCGTTACAGTTGTGAACTACACTGGCCCCAACCATAAACCACAGGTGTCTGGGGGAGAGGGAAGCTAACACAAATGGAGAAATAACAGGGGAACAAAGAGAGGCAGCTTGGGGAGAAGCTGCATGTCTCCCCTATCGGCTCCCCTACCCCTCACTCCCAAGGGAGAGAAAATGTCCAAGGTCCCCCTCAGAATTTCCCCCTCCCAAGTCCCCACATTTCCCCTCTGTAAATTTGCTTCTGAAAGCTCAAGAGAAAGTGGATGTTAGAGCTTTTACCGGCCACCTTCTCAGGTTGCCGGCCCCTTCAAACCAGAGGGCAGTGGGGTCCAGGGCTCCTGCTGCCTGTCACCGCTCAGCTAAAAAGCAAGGACAGGGACTGGACCATAATTGTGCTTTTATTCATGTCAGAGGCCAGCAGTCTGGTAAACTCTGGTAAACGCAGAGAAAACTCTGGCCAGCACGCTGGTAAAGGCTCTAATCTCCCTTCTCTTGAGCTTTCAGAGGTAAGTTTAAACAGGGGAAATGTAAGAATTTGGCGGCACGGCAGGTGAGTGCGTTAGCGGGGAGTCCAGGAGTAAGGGGAGGAGGAGCAGAAAAGGTAGTCCCCAGCTCCCTCCCGAGCTGGCTTCCTTTGTGCTGCCATTATCTCTTCGTTTCCATTAGAATTCCTCTTCGTCTCTCTTCCTCTGAGGCCTGTGCTTTATAGCCAGGGAGGTGAGGTGTCCTCTGGTCAGGGGGGAGAGGTATAAACCGTTTACTCTTAATTGTCTTTGTTTAGGGGAAATAGGGTCTTGCATTTCACCAGCTGGCTGCAAGATGCTCAAACTGTTTTTGCCTTGTTTAATTTTCTTGTCTGTTTCCCCACTCCACTGGCTGGGGAATTTCCTTAGCTTTTTACTACCCTGTCTCATGCTGATATTAATATAAGCACAATTATAATGCAATCCCTGTCTCTGCTTTTTCAGCTGAGCGGTGAAAGACAGCTAGGGCCCAGGACTCAGCCGATCCCTGGTTTCACCCTCAGCAGCCACAACGTCGTCCTCTCGCCACACAACCTTCTGATGGGGGAATTTCCGGAACTGAAGGCCTGATCCACCCTGACTCCAAGAGACCACAAGCAACACCTGGGTTTTTACCTTGACTATGAAGACTTGTGCTGTTCCTGAGTTTCACCGTAAACCAGAAAAACACCGTACTTGCTTTCCTGGACTATTAAATGGCCGCTAATGGACAGGTATCCCAAATCCTGAAGGGAAGCGCTGCTGCTTCAGAATGGCAACCTTCATCCAAAGACACTGAAAAACCCTCTGCGCACCTAGTTTACAATAGGGACATGGGAAACTTTGGGGGCTTTTAAAAAGCTCGTGGCCTGGTGGGGAGGATGGGAAGTGCTGGGTCTCGTGGGAAAGAAGGGCTCCAAGCTAAGGTGCTCTACATTCTCCCAAGGTTGAAATACTATAAATAAAAATCTCCTCCTTCCAGCCAGCGTTAATTGCTGGGTCTTTCACCAAGGCTCGTCCTGCTGGCTTTCAGTTTTGGCGAGCTCTGTACCACCAGGAGGCTGCGCAATCGCAATCGAGATGGCATCTGAGCCCCGGCATTCCTGGGAGAGACATCCCACCGCCCAGGGCACAGATAAAGAATCGCAGGTCAACAAGGAGAGGAGGCTAGGGGGCTGCTGGGCGGCAGCTTTTATCTGATAACCTCTCTTCTGAATTCCAGATCCTTTATCTACACTTTTTTTCTCCTTGCCAAAAGGCTGGCTGGAAAGAAAATTTAAGATGGTCTTTAAAGGTAGGCCCCCTGCTGTCTTCTCGGTCAGCGGGCTGTCTGAATAGAGCGTCCTTAAAGAGTCAATCTGGGTCTCTACTCATTAGGTCTGCTGGTGACAGGCAGGCGTGGAAGAAGAGGGGCCACAGATTACCCCGACAAGCCCAGGGGAGGCCTGCAAGGTTGCCTTACAAACTCAGAGACCTAAAGTAACCAGAAAGGATGGTCTGAAGCTAAAACTTATTAACTAAGCAGTTCACGGAGGGTAGTCCTGTCTTAGGCCCGTTGTTTTTCCCTAACAAAGGTCGATTGACCTTTACCTTACCTGAGCCTGTCTGTTGTCTTTTGCATTTATAACAGATCTTTGGAAATATCGAGGTAACTTCCCTATTCCCCAAACCCCTTGGGCACAAGCAGAGACCACAAATCCCCTCATTGTCATTGTTATCTTCTGAATTGTTGACTGCCAACTGTCCTGTACCCAAGGATGTAAAAGAAGTGTCTACCATTTTACCTTTTATCCAGTCCTAGAGGTTTCCCTCCAGCTGTGCTTTCTCCTTCCTCCTTAGTCTATCACCAGGGGATTTCACCCCTCGTGACTCCTCCTTTGATTCTAATATATTAAACAAGGTGTTACACAGCTACTCTCCGGAGCATCTCTTAATCCACTGAGATACTTGCTTCCCAGCGACTGTCGTCAGTTTGGCTCAGATAAACTCCCCAACAACTCCGCGCAGGTTTGAATGTCTCTTTTGTGGACACCAGTTCTTTTTCTTGCAGAGCAAGAAAAACTCATCCCGCGCCCTGTTCTTTCTCACCAAAGAGCGGCACCGGCAGGAGGACCGGCATCCGCCACCCGAACGCCGCCCGCCGGGGCCTGGGTGGCAGGACGGGACGGCGCCCCGCCCCCCGGGCTGCGCGCTCCGCGCGGGGTCCAGGGGCCGCGCACTCACCTCCGTCGGGCGCCTCAGCGCGGGCACCGCCATCGGACTGCGGGGGCGGAGCGGGGGCACCAGCGGCAGGACCGGAGGGGGCGCCGGGCACGGCTGTCCTCGTCCCAGCCCGGGCCGGTCACCCTGGGGTCGTTGGGGAGCCTCACACCCGTGTCTGTGCGGCGACTACGACTCCTTCCCGCTTTCTCCGTTTTGTCACCTCAAGACCAGCGCAACGGACCCAAAGCTAAATACAGTCGATTCAGAGCAACAATAATGACCGCTTGTAAGAGGACCCCGGAAGTGCGGCCCCCTGTGGATGAATCTCACGGAAATGCTTTTATTCTGGCCTGTCGTTGACTCAACTCGGCGCACGTTCCTCTGGGTAATGTAGTTCTCGGAGCTGTAAGCGTCCCAGGGCGGGGAGTGGTCCGACTCTAGCAACTAGGACGTTTGCACTGGAAGGAGCTTGGGAAGCGCTGCTGCCGCCGGAAGGTCTTTGCTTGTTAATTGCACCAAAAACTCAATTCTGACACTACCTCCCTGAAGACAGGTTCAGGGATCCGGCGCACAGAGGCTACGTCTCACTTCAGATGCCAGTTGCAAGTCCATGTGTTACCTGTGCTTCAGAACATGCTCTTTTTAAATAGAAAACCACAGGCCGCAAATAGCATCACTGATGCTGAATAACTGATATAATTGCAGTTTCACTCTTTCCCAGAAACAGGACCTCAATCATCCAGTTTGAAATTTTCTGGCCGAGCACTAGTAAGGTAATGTGTCTCAAGAACCCTCTCCATCCCCCAGAGAAAGAAGAGGCAATCTCCATGAAAAAAATATCCCAGATGTTCTCCCCATAAAGAAAAGGTGTCCTGGCTTAAAAATATCCTGTCAAATAAGACCCCTACCTTTCTCTATGGGAAGGTGACTTTGCCTAAAATACTCCACTCTTTCAACTTCTTAATCCTCCTCCTCCCGCTCCTGTTTCTGCTGGTAAAATCATTCCATTTTGTGCAACTCCTAGCACCTTTCAAGTTGCTAGATGGGATGTTGCATAATTTATGAATCACTTAAAGCCAATTAGATCTTTAAATTGTCAACGTAAGTCCTGGAATTGCCGATTCAATTCCCAGCCTGGACATTTGCCTGGATTGCAGGTCACGTCCCCAGAGGGGGCGCACAAGAGGCAACCACGCGTTGCTATTTGTTCCTCTTTTTCTCCTCCTTTCCTATGTGTCTAAAAGTAAATAAATAAAATCTTTTTTCAAAAATTGTCAACGTAAGAAACTTCCAATCCTTAAGAATTTGTATGAGTTTATTTGAGCCCAATTGAGAACAATTGCCAAAAGCAAAACCTCAATGGATTGAGGAAATGCTCCAGAAAATGGCAGTTTTGCACCTTATTTCATACATTGCAGTGAAAAAAGAAGACGTAAGTGGGTTACATGAAATCAATCTATTGGTGGTATGGAGGTAGGAGAAGGCAAAGTTGGGGGAGAACTTCTGGGATTGAATAAAAAGTAAAATGATGAACACATACTTCTTTTACATAAGTAAGTACAGAATAGTTCCATTCAACAATTAACAAGATAACAATAACAATAAGGCCAGAAGGACAGTAAGAGTTTCTTTTTCTTTTTTATTATTATTTTAATTTTAATTTTTTAAATTTTTAAAAAATATTTTATTTATTTTTAGAGAGAGGGGGAGGGAGGGAGAGAAACATCAATGTATGGTAACCTCTTGCACTCCCCCAACTGGGGACCTGGCCCACAACCCAGGCACATGCCCTGACTGGGAATAGAACTAGTGACCTTTCAGTTTGCAGGCCAGCACTCAATCCACTGTGCTACACCAGTCAGGGCCATTATTTTAATTTTTAAATGTTTATTGATTTTAGAAAGAGAGAGGGACAGAGAGAACATCAATGTAAGAGAAACATTGATTGGTGGCCTCCAGTACCTGCCCCCTACTCCATACATGCCCTGAACAGGAGTCTAACGCACAACATTTTGGTTTACAGGATGACACTCCAACCAGTTGAGCCACTTAAGTCAGGGATAGTAAGAATTCCATAAGTAAAATTACTTTACTGAAGCAGCAGCTATAGAAGGCCATGTTTTTACAGCCATTTAAGCTTCTATCTGAGTTATTACAGTTAGTTGTCCCAGTTGGGTTAGGGGATAAACCCATACTCCTGGAAAAAAAATACAATAAACATTAATTATTTTAAAAAGCACATTCTCCTATTTGGACTCTAGTGTTTACAGATAAAATTCCTTATTCCTTTTCTACTTATTTTCTACAACTTCCCTCACTCTTGGTTTCTCTCTCTCTCTCTTTTTTTTTTTTTTTGTAAGTTTATTTATTTTTTGATAGAGGGGAAGGGAAGGAGAAAGAAAAGGAGAAACACTGGTGTTGAGAGAGAAACATTGATCAGTTACCTCTCACCCCCCACCCCCACTGGGGACCTGGCTGGAAACCCAGGCATGTGCCTTGACTGGGAATCAAACCAGTGACCCCTTGGTTCTCAGGCCAGTGCTCAATCCACTGAACCACACCAGCCAGGGCTAAAATGAACTACTTGCTTTTAACGTCCTTTAAAAATATAGACATTTCTTTTCTCCCTTTTGTAATAGCATTTATTCTCAATTTCAAAAGAGAAAACATAAAAAGAGTATTATTAGTAATACAAAAGTTATCTCATACACCTTTAGCAATTATTAACAGTTGGTCTGCATACACAAGGTTTGAGAAAAAAGTGAAGAACAAGTATAATTATTATTATTAATGTTAGCATGGTTATTTACCAGCCCATCATTCGATATTAGATAAACAGTGTGAAGAAATGAAACTCTCATACACTCCTGGTAAAAGTGCAAAACAATACAAATTAAATGACAATATGTGAGTCATTTCAAAACTTAAATATTAACCTACCCTGTGACTCAGACACTACATTCTAACTTAAGAAAAGAAACGGCTAGAAATAACACATGTGCATAAACAAAGGAAGTAACAAACTAATAATTGTACACACAAAGGTATTATTATTCACCAAAAAAAAAGGTGAACTACTCATGTAACAACATTGAAAAATCTAAAAAAAGTATTAAAATGTACATTTCATAGCTGCAAACATTCAAATTTAATAAAATGCAAGGTATCAATTTTAAAGGAATATAAATCAATGGTTATGTGGAAGAAGGGAAGGGCAGAGAGAGAAAGATTATAAAAATAGGCAAACACAGTAATGGAAATGGTTATTATTATGACTATGATCATGGTTTCACAGGTTTAATCCTACGTCAAAATTTATCAAATGAGCCCCGACCAGTATGGCTCTGTTCATTGCGTGTCACCCACAAAGCAAAATATTGTGGGTTTGATTCCCAGTCAGGGTACATATCTGGGTTGTAGGTTCGGTCACCAGTTGAGGTGCGTGTGAGAGGTAACTGATTGATGTTTCTCTCTCACATCAATGTTCCTCTCCCTCTCTGTCTCCCTCCTGTCCCTTCTCTCTAAAAATAAATAACATATTTTAAAAATTTATCAAATGGTATACTGTATGTATGAGTTTATTTCAATATGAATTATACTTTAATAAAGCTGTGAAAATGGTTCTGCATTTAACAAAATCTCTGTTTTGCTCTTTCAAGAAAATACGGCCTAGCCAGGTAGTTCAGTTGGTTAGAGCATCCTCCTGATACAACAAGGTTGCAGGTTCAGTCCTGCTCAGGGCACATACAAGAATCAACTGATGAATGTATAAATAAGCAGCATCAGAACTCAAATCTATATATATCTCTCTCCTCTCCTGTTCTCTCTCTGAAATCGATACATAAAAATTTTTAAAAATATGCTTAAGAACATTATTTTCAACCCACTATCAATCTCCTCATGCCTCCTGGGAGTCAGTCTTGCCTCAGTAGAAGCCAACGTTGGTAAGAAATGAAGGACATTGCAACCCAGGTCAACAGGAATCCTGACTGGGTCACAAGAGCAACAGCCCGGGACTGCAGATCCACACTTTTACACCTTTGTGCTCCTGCTTCTGCAGTATTGGCCTTTGGAAGAATATTGCTGAGGAATGACAGAAGCCAAAAATTAGTACATGGGAGAACAGAGGTAACCTCCCACAAGCACACTCGGGTAGTGGCTTGTATGCACCTTGAAGACTTACCAAGTGGTAGAGATAAAATGCCTTCAGCCATAGAAATGGTTGGGGACATAAATTCAAATTAGATAGATGCCTACTCAGAGTTTACTTCAGTGTCATTATACTGAACAAGACAATAACACATTTCCTAAAACCTAAGCATTTACACAGTGTGAACTCTCCAATGTCAAGAGGGCACAGATTTATGGCTTAATGATCTTCGACATTTATCACACACTTAAATCCTTTAAATACTGTAAACTCTGACAATAATGTAAGACAATCCTAGTGGTAAAATATTCCCCACATTCACGGCACACAAACACTATCTTCCAGTGTGAACATCTGGTCCTGAATAAGTATGTGGTTCCAGCCAATGGCTTTCTTACATTCTTTTTTGTGTAATAATTTTTCCTTCCTTGAAAAGTCAGCCCAGACATTGAAGTTTCATTATAATTAATCAGAAATCATGAATGTACATATGTTCCTTTTTAATTTAAAATCTAAAGCAAGTATTATACTGAAATATAAACCAACATTTGAAACCATTAAAACTAAGAGTTGTAATAGAGAGTTTAAAAAATAGAAAAACTTAACAGAAATTATAAAGATTACTTCTAAATAAAAACAGAAAATATATCCAGCGCCCTGCCACTGACACAATGGTCATAGGAGTAGTCTGATGCTCCAAGAAAGCTCCTGGCACAAGAACATTGGACTGGCTTTTTCTTCTCTATGAAACATTTACACGCTGTAATAAAATCCCTTTCTCCCTCTTCTAAGTGTGTCCTTAAAATCCTCAGGATCCACATGCTTTTCATTCCTGGGTGCTGCTCCTTTTATATTTCCACAGCACCTCTCACCTTATAATTTACTATAATATAGAATAGTTTCTTTTTGACTTATTGGCTACTTTTTCAATAAAAAATTTGAACAAGTGCCCTGACCTGTGTGGCTCACTTTGTTGGCCATGATCCTGCAAAGCAAAAGGTTGCCGGTTCAATTCATGTTCAGGGC